ATAAATAAATACACCTGTTAGCAAAAAAATAAAAAAAATAAATAAAAAATAAAGAGGGCCAAGTTAGAACACTTCTAAAGCTCCTTTTCAGCCTGAACATTTAAAAATATTTAAAAGATTTAGTCTTTTGCCATTCTTATGTCATCATCTGCAATTTGTACAACTCCATGGCCTGACCTTGGGAAGCTCTAAAAATTACCCTATACTCTCCCTGCCCTTCTATAATACACAGTAAAAGCTCAAATTAAAGCATACAATACGACTAAAGGTGTCAAAAAGATTTCTCTCTATAATTATATCTTCGATAATTGAAAATATTAACTCAAATTGTTTTCAGAAATTATTTTGGTAGTTCTGCTTTGCTGGTATATTTAGCAATGTTTGCTGTAACTACTGGAAAATATGTCATGCCAGTGATGCCATACCAGTATGATGTTCCCCTTAGAGGGAGAAATTGGTCTATTCTCTTCCAAGATGACATGGTAGAAATCCTTAATTTAGTTTATAAATTCATATATTGAAGTTTTTCAAGTACATGTAGAATGACACATAACCCATATTAGATGAACTGCAGGAGAGTCCCAGTCACAATAAAATAGCATATGCTCAAGTAAGAGGGTCATTTTCTACATGCTGACATTTCACTGTAGGAAGTTAGGACCCAATGAGTAAGGTGAAGAAAGGAGAAGCAAGGCTCACCAAAAAATGAGACGGAATTTCTTCCATTGTGATTATGAGTGAACAAAACTCACTCTAACCAGGGATTTTCCTTTTTTTTTTTTTTTTTTTTTTTCAGAACTGGGGATTGAACTCAGGCCCTTGCGCTTGCCAGGCAAGTACTTATGCCACTTAGCTACCTCCCTGGCCCCCAGGGATTTTGCCAATGAAGTTTCTGAGGAAAAGGAAATACACTTGAAGGCTGTATTGTTTTTGCTTTTGTTAGAACAATAGACTAAATATTGCAAGATTTAACTTGGCGAGCCTGAGAAAGCAGTTGTGAGATAATTAAATTATTCCCTAATTGATTTGCTGGGGGACTGGATCAGTCATAAATTTGACTTAAGCCTTTACACTTTATTCTATAGCTTCTAATTTTAATGTTATACATTTATAAAGGTAAAAAAAGAGTATCTAGGTGTTTACTAAGAATTAGTTAACCATTTTATTCTTCTTTTTGCTTTGAGCAGAGATTATAAATCCATGCCGTACCTTGGTGAATATACTGAAATATTCAAGATGGGTAGCAACAGTAACAGCAATACTGAGATTAACTGCAATGTCACTAATATGAAATTTCAGTACACTCTCTACGCAACCACCTATATCATCATATTCATCCCCGGTCTTCTGGCCAACAGTGCAGCTTTGTGGGTTCTGTGCCGCTTCATTGGAAAGAAAAACAAAGCCATCATTTTCATGATCAACCTCTCTGTGGCTGACCTTGCTCACGTGCTGTCCTTACCCCTACGGATTTACTATTATGTCAATCACCACTGGCCTTTCCAGAGGGCCCTTTGCCTGCTGTGCTTTTATCTGAAGTATCTCAACATGTATGCCAGCATTTGCTTCCTGACATGCATCAGCCTTCAGAGGTGTTTCTTTTTGCTCAAGCCATTCAGAGCCCGAAACTGGAAGCGTAGATACGATGTGGGCATCAGTGCTGCCATCTGGATCATCGTGGGCACTGCTTGTTTGCCATTTCCCATCCTCAGAAGCACGAATTTGGGCAACAGCACTGACTCCTGCTTTGCTGATCTTGGCTACAAGCAAATGAATGCAGTGGTGTTGGTCACAATGATTACAATGGCTGAACTTGCTGGATTTGTGGTTCCAGTGATCATTATTGCATTTTGTACCTGGAAAACCATTATATCCTTAAGAGAACCACTGATGGCTTTTCAAAGGGTCGGCGAGAAGCAAAAAGCACTCCGGATGGTTTTCATGTGTGCTGCAGTCTTCTTTATCTGCTTCACTCCGTATCATATTAACTTTATTTTTTATACCATGGTAAAGGAAACTATCATTAACAGTTGTTCTATTGTCAGAAGTACACTGTATTTCCATCCTTTTAGCCTTTGCCTTGCAAGCCTCTGCTGCCTTTTTGATCCAATTCTTTATTACTTCATGGCTTCAGAGTTTCGTGACCAACTTTCTCGCCATGGCAGCTCTGTGACCCGTTCTCGTCTCATGAGTAGGGAGAGTGGCTCATCAATGAATAGCTAAAAATAAAATATCCTTTTAATTATGATTTTGTATACCTGTATTGTCTTTTTCTAAAGGCCAGAATTACTAGCCAGATAAATTCCTTAATTGAATCTCTGAAACAATAGAATATTTTCTTTTATGACAATGTGGTCACAAGAATAGTGAAGACAGAGTATGAAAAAAGTGTGATGAGAATGAAAGTTACAATTTACCTATTTGCTTTTTAAAATTTTAAGGCATCCTATTAGTTAAGAGTGCTGCGATCATGCTGGTAGATTAGCTCAGGTTGGTTCTTGTATTCTTCATGGTCCTGCCTGAGTACAAGTTTCGACAGAAGTTTTTAACCAAATAGAAGTTGGCTACTTTAGATTAAAAATTTATTCAGTAAATTTCATATTGCTAATATGATAAAATCAATTCAGGGATCTTTTATAACAAGTAAAATTATATCTCATTCATAAAACCTTCGTTTTTCAATAGAAGTATCTAGCGTAAGAAATAAAAATGAAATGAAACCAATGGAAGAATGAAAGCAAAGTATACGTAGGTTTCCAGATTAAAACCTTATCAATGAGTTTATGTAAATTTATTCATTCATTGAAAATGTGTTGCTATTGTATTCTTGAGTGTCATTTTGCTAGTTCCTTTCATATATATGTATTATTTTGTCCTCCAATACGAATGTTCTCATGTGGAAATGAATAAAGTAGAATACAGTAAAATGAATCAATGAGATCTCAGCAAAGTAAAGCATCCTACATTGGGATAAATATCTGCAGAACAAAATTTGCCAAGGGTATATCCCATACACAGAAATTATTTCCTTTGACTGTATAGCTTAACAAATCATCCAGATTGCTTTAAAATATTGCAATGAATAGTAGTTTTAACACATAATTGTCACAGATACAAGCTCTAAGACAAAGAGAAAAAAATACATCATTTAATTGAGTTTTCAAAAAGCCAAAACTAAAGCCTTATGTTGCTCTTGGATTCCTGGAAGACATCTGTCCAAACCTACTTAGAAATCTTTTAAAATCTGATAGCACTGATGAAGTACTATTTAAACTTCTGCTGGTTTTGTTAAAAATGTAAAAAGTAAAATAATTTTTATAATTCACATTAAGTTAAAAACTATTTCCATAGTAGGGTGTGTCTTTGCCTCTACAGAGCATTAAATGATATAGATATAATGATTTTCATTAATTAAATACCCTGAATTTATAAAATATGTGGTTATTTCTATTAAAATGTTAGGCACCAGGCGTTAGTTTTAAAATTGGACTCCCCCGTTATAAGATTGCTTCTATGGAAAAGATTGCTTCTCCTTACATTTTCTGTATATTTCCTAAGAATATAGTATATAATAACACTTCAACATTTAAGTGATAGTTTGAGGTAAATTATGTCAGTAATAAAAATAAAATGCTTATATATAAAAATTGTGAGAAAAATGATTAGACAAAATTATATGGGCATAATTTTGGTGGCAAATATATTTAATTCTGCAGTTTTGGCTGAATAGATAATTTCACAAAACTATGCAGGAATGCTTACACAAAATTAGCTATACTCTATTGAATCTAATAATGTAAGGCTGTTTATCATTATCATCAGATGTAATTATCCCAATAACTATTCCTATAAGAACCCTCACTTTTCAGATTGGAGGGAAAATAATTGCAGAGATGTTGACTAACTTATTCAAATACATTCAGGTGGTAAATATTAGAGCATGTGTTTTTCAGCTGTGGAAGAAAAGTTTATAGTTCAGGTTCTTAACCATTAAAGATGTGATAAAATACTATGATAATTGTCTCAATTAAACAATATTACAGTAAAACTAATTGCCAATAATTATTCCCCAAATACTTTCCTTCATTTTGAACACCTTAGTCTCAAAATTGTTACCAGTTTCAGAAGAATTTCTGGAAGTCCTCTCTCATGAGTGTCTTTAATTGCCATGTAGTGACAACCTGAATGTGTTGAGTCAATTCAAAATGTCTATATTTTATGGTCATTTGATTTTCGAAATAAGCCAAAAGCCTCACAGGTGGGTGACTATGATGGATAAAGAAGTAGTAATCATTTTAATACTTGCTTTCTGTTGGATGGCACTCTGCAGCAGCATTCATGGTCTTATTTTAAATCACATCTGGTAAATTTCTCATGAAAGTGAATTTCCAGAACTGTTCAGACGGCAGAAAGAATGATGTGATGAGTACATTCAAAGCAAGAATGAATATTTTTGAGCAGGATTAATGGCAATGTATTTTGTTATAGTACTTTTAAAAATTTTAATGTTTACCATGTTTTACTTAAAAATTTTAATACTTACCATATATTTTGCTCATACTTTGAATTATCAGCCTACATATTGCTATATAGAATTAACTTTATGGAAGTGTTTCAAACATAGTTTCCCTTTCATTCAAAAAAGTCACATAATTAGGATAAGATCTGTATGAAAGCTTTTTTGCATTTTTAACATTTTCAAACCTCTAAAATATATCAAACTATAATTTATCAATTAACAATAAAATATTTTGAAAGTTAAATTTTAAAATTTCCATA